GAAACCATGGAATTCGTCCATAGAATTAAACAAACAAAAGAAACTAAAAAAACCCAAAAAACCAACAACCCCCCCCCCCCCCAAAAAAAAACCCCAACCCCAAACAAACTAACAACAAAACATAAGTAACATTAACTCATTAACATACAACTATCAAGAAGGAATTCATGACATATGACATAGAACAAAAACAGAACATTTAAATAACAGTAATATACTTTTTCTGGTTATAATAAAGAATGAAGCAAACAATGTATACACAGTATGAAATCAACATGTAAAACAATTTCATTTCAGCTTGACGCTCATGTAAAAATAAAGAATGGCACCCAATTTCCCACCCAGTCACTGTAAACCACTCTGGCCTCACAGCAAAAATAAGAAGTACAACTCAAAGAAAGTGAAAGATGGACAGACCACCTCATGAATAGCCTCCAAGAACTTTAGGGTAAAGTAAAGTTAAGTTGTTCCCGCATCTGATCCAGACATTGGGGATTGCCTTTTTCGTGAGACAACTTCCTGGGCCTTCCGCATATTGTGGTAGGGTGGCCAGTTCCTTTCCATGCAGACTTTACTTCCCCAACTCAAAGTGAGGTGCCCATCACTGCTGGGTGGGCAGGAGGGGGCGAAAAAAAAAAAATACGGGTCCGAACCGAGGCTCGAACCCGCACTTTCCGCTTCCGAGACGGGCGCACTAACTGTTTCGCCACCGCACCCTCAACTTAAGGGTACGAGTCCAAAATTCCTAAACAAACAGTCTGTTGACACATCATACAACTCCAATAGGTGTTTTTTTTTTAAACTACGCCAAAGTTTGCTATTCTAAAATATAATAATAATAGTGCAGCCTCTCTATAATGACATCGTCGGGACCAGAAAAAAATGTTATAGAAAGTTGTCGTTATGGAGAGGTTATATGTTATAGAGAGTTGTCGTTATGGAAAGGTTATATGTTATAGAGAGTTGTCGTTATAGAAAGGCAACCAAAACTTACTAATGATATATATAAAAAGAAAAAATCAGGACTTGGGTACCATTATGTCACTATACAGAAGATGTCGTTATATATCGAAGGTCGTTAAAGAGAGGCTGCACTGTAGATCTGCCTACTATGATGAAATAGAAATGCAGTTTTCCATACCTTATTCTGGTATGAAAAGCTCTCCTTGACTACATGATCATTTCACCACCACCAGCAAGAACGAACTATTCCCCATTGATAATGCTCATCACTAACTTTCTGGTACATGTACTCTTAAACAAACCCCTTTATCACTGCGCCCATCTTACCAAAAGCAAAAAAATGTACACAACATTTTAAATAGAGTCAGAGGCACAAAAGACAAAATGGTTCACTTTGAAGGATACCTAGAGTCAAACCACATTTCTTCTAATTTCAGAGTTGACACGACAATCCGATACATCACTCGCAAAGGACAGTCAAGATTTTTATACTCCACCGTTGGGAGAGAATGCTTGTATTAGCATGACAGAGAGCAAACATAATGTGAGGTGTGCTGACAAAATGAGTTACTTCTCGGATTCAAGCCCTATAAATGGGCATAGATTAAACATCACGCTAACAGGTGAAGATTTCACAATTTAAGTATGAAATAATAAAAGGCATGTTATACTTTGAAAATATAGCATAAATAGAAAATCTACAAATTTGACCAGTGTACATTTTTTACCAACATCTCAATTTGTAGATTGCGAGAAGTACTCATTTTGTCACAACACCTCACAAATGGCTGATTTGGTCCTAATGAAAATGCAGTGCTTCTGAGCATCACAAACGTGTTGAAAGACACATGTACAGCTTGGGTTTTCATTCGACATGGAGAGGTTCTATTTCTAACGACGCCCAATTGAAAAAGGGATGCATATTGATATATTGGTAGCTTAGGTTAACTGAAGCATATAGTGAAATTACAGTTGGAATGTTTTCTAGTCAATACTGGTACTTTTTCCCCCCATTTGAAGTAACCTTTCATCGCGAAGTATTTATTTTAAAAAAATAAAATTAAAAAAAACCAACTGATTACATACAAATTCTCTAATCACGAATGGAGAAAAAGAGTCACTCCAGTCATGTCAACCTTTTGAAAATGGCTACACTATTTTGGTCAATTTCACGACAAAAGAAGTAAAGCAGTTTTCACCTAAGAACCTGCCTTTTCTGCTTTTACCATGTATCAAATTTTCCTCTAAAATTAGCATTCCGAAGAACAATATGAAATTAGAAATGCCACACTAATAAGAACTCAAGGCAATATACTTTTCCGAGCTACTGGTACTGTTCCATACTCTAAGGTATCGAATAAAAGGTGGGATAGGAATAAAATAGGGGGTTGGACAGTGGTGCAAAATTAATAAGGGGTGGGTGGAGCATTCAACCTCATACCCCTGTACTAGTAGGAACAAAAATCTGTTTCTCCTTCAGTGAATGAAAAGAAAACAAGAGATCATGAAATTTTAGTGATTTTAGTAAGTTTCTGTGAAAACTTGTCCCATTTAGGAACAAACCAGTTTCATAAAAAAATATAAACCAATGAACAAAAGTTTTAAAAATGCACAGCTGCACAGAAAATTGAGGTAGCCAACCCTGTACCAGTACTAATACTGAGGGTAATTTGCCATTTACTTTATAAAAAAAGGAGTTTCATTCAGATACCTAGATTCTAGATATAATGTTTCACATGATTGTCGGTCGTGGCAAGCAAGAAAACTATAAATGGGGGGTATGGAATAAGGAGCGGAAAGGGGGGGGGGTTGCGCAAAAAAACTTTAAATTAACAAGAGAGAGAAACGCTTATTCAATACCTTAGTAGTTTGCCTAGGCTGGGGTGATGGTGAAGGGAAAGGGTACTGGCCAGAACAAGTAGAAAAAGAAATTTACACATTACACGCACACCTACACTGAACAGTTTCTTAGGAACATTTCAGAGTTCTGCCGAGCAGGTGGACTATGTAATAAATGGTTTTTGATTAGTACAATAACTCATTCCTCTAACGTAATAACTCGCTCCTGTAACGTAATAACTCGCACCTGTAACGTAATAAATCGCTCATGTAACGTAATAACTCGCTTCTGTAATGTAATAACTCGCTCCTCTACCCTTGTAACGCAATATCTCACTCCTTTAACGCAATAACTCGCTCCTCTAATGTAGTTAAAGTCTCTCCGGTTGTCTTTTGTTTTTATTTGTCCCTTAACCTCTCACAGAGTTACTAATGCTGAGTAGGCACACGCACGCATCCACTTCACCAGTTCTGCAGTAGACCCACAAGTACGATAGCACAAGCAACAAGACCGAGGAAAAGATGGCTTCCAACAAAGAAAAAAGGAAAGCCTCTCACTTGAATTAAAGGCCGAGATAATCAACGAAGTTGACTAGAAAAAGAAGACTAATCTAAATCTAAATTGCAAATTTTATTAATATTGAAGGGAGGTTATCATGTGGATTTTTAGAATTTTTTAGGTAATTCCCCCTTTGCAGTCAAGTAGTTGGAATTCGCCTACAGCGGGATTTTTCTTCTCGAACCAAAAGCCCTGCTATAACCATGTTCTACCGCATCTCCCCATAAAATAAACAACAAAAACCAATAAGAAGCAGGCGCTGAATAGCGTCCCTTAAAATCCGCCTAAGAACCTCCTTTTTCTATCGCATGACAATGGGGTTCTTAGACGGAGACCACTTTTACATTGTTATGACTCAGAGGGCATACAACACGAAAAAAGAACGCAACTTAGAATACAAATTTTTAACAGTCAACAACAACATTCTTCCACTGCCACTTGTACTCTAGCGACACAAAAATAACATTTCAAGAAAAGAAAATTACATTACAGGTACTGATAAATGCACCACAATGGACTAGTCTACTCTGTCTCTGGTTATCATATAGCACCAATTGGTGTCCTTGTTTGCTGATGGGACAAATGAAAACATGAACCTTCCCTCCTCCTCCATCAAATAAAAAATGCAACAAAATTGTTTCCCAGGGAAAAAAAAAATCAGAGAGAATCAACATAAAAATTGATAGCCAAAGTCGCAATCTGGACAAGCAATTGCACTGGTTCATCTTAAATTGGATAATCTTAAATAAAAAGAAATAAAGGAAAACATTACATTAGATAACAAGGAAACAAAAAAAGCACAACCATAACCATCCAGGTTAACATGAATAATGAATGTAACTCCCAAGACCAAGGGCCATTTATGAACCCGTAAGCACTGGCGGAACTAGACTCATGTGGCATCATAACTGAACATGACAGAGTTATGTAGTACACAAAACTACTAACACTACTAATACTATAGTGTAAAAATAGATACCATGAACACAGAAAACTCTAAATCATGGACAGCTCGTACAATTTGCCATTTCCCAACTAATGTTTCCCTAAATAGATATCGATTTATCTAAATAATAACGGATGTCAAAACACATTTTTGTCAATCCCCAATATGTTCGAGTTATCCGCACCCGACTGTATCCAAGTAGTGAGTGAACAGCGTCTACTACAAAGTAGGCTATCACTCTGCATCACTATAGGCTGAAGCAAGAGCATGAACTTAGATCTGAGGCCTACAACATGTAGGTCACCACTGATCCATGATATCTCAACATAAAAGACAGTTACAGCTGACCTCTTCAACAAAGAGCTGACCCAAATGAAAATAGTGACAAAATCTTTTTAAAAAAGTAAAACGAAAAACGAAAGTCGGATCACAAGTCAAAGAACACTGCGGCATCAAATGCTGATCATATGTGTTACGACGAGGTGGAATCAGGTGCTCGTCAATTTTGGGGCATATGGAGTAATTGATGTACCATCTTAAAGCCTGTCTATTAGCCCTGTTTTGATGGAAAAAAAATATCCATTTATCTTGGATACAAGTCAAGATATTGGCAATTGAAGGAGGTGGGGGTCACCTGGATTCAAAGAAAAAATTTGCAAGAAAATGGCCGCCAAAATTGCGTTATAAATTTCCTTAGCTTGAGAGTTCGTTGAAACTGAAAATTTACATATTTTATGCCTTCAATCAACGTTTTTCAGTAAATTCAATACAGAAAGGTATTCTTTAATGGGTGTGAAAGGTGTTGAGCAAAAAAACACAAAAATTCGATAAAAGTTCCTTAACCTGCGGAAAAATACCAGGTTCTTCACTTTCATTATTTTGACAAGCCCCTGATTTCACCACGCTGAATCACAATATTTACACCTGGTCACCATAAAAGTGTAAGAGTGCGTTAAAATCACACTTAAATTTCAGTTTATAGTACTTAATAAACTAGTATGCACTTCCAAAGACGGACAGAGAACTCTTTTAAGATTGGGGAAAACAGGAAAAGTCAGAGGGCGCTACATCCTGTGAATAGGGTGGGTATAGAACAATTTTGTAAATTGCCTTCTCCACTCTGCCCACTGGCAACTTGTCGTGCCACAGGAGGATTGCTTTTCGGCAAATTCACAGCTTTCATCGTCTTCTTTTGGACAATGTAGATGGCACTTTCATCAGCAATGCCAAATAATAATCCCAGACACGATATGGCCATTTGAAGTTAGCATCACGTTTTTGCCTCTGTTGGCGATGGGAATGGAGGTTGAAGACATCCTTTATTTAAACATCCTTGTCCAAAATTCAATAGTTTCATTTAAACATTTTAAAAGGGCATTCAGTACGCGGCAGTAAACCCTTGACATCTCAAAATTGTTGCAGGTCACTTTCCTTCTACTCGAAAAAGTAAAGACACTTGAAAACAGAACAATATTTTAAAACAGGTTATATACAGCTTCCATTGAAATGGTGTTATCTTTTGGAAGTTACCTTTTCTTATTCAAGAAAAATGTTCAGTTACTGAAAGCACTCTCAAATTCACACTGTTAATCAGATATTCCCCAAACCCCACATGCGCCGTTACAGAAAGATAGATAACATTCTCTAAGTTTCACTGTTGTACGGCAATTTCAATTTTCTTCATAGTCTAGGTTAAGACTTACAAATACAAAACAGCCTGCATACTGACAAAATTTCAAGTCTGATATAAATGGTGATTTAAAAGATCTCAACTGACAAGAACAAAAAAGAGACTACAAGACGTAATTACATCTTCAGTGTAGGATATAATAATAAATTCTTGCTGATCTCAACTCGTGCCAGTGATAGAAAATGAGGACCGAAGAGAAGAATGAAGTGAACTAACATGTCAAGGCCCTACCACAAGTAGGGGTCATTCTCCTATGAAATCTCTACAGGATGATACTTAAAGTAAAGCATTTATTTGAATCAAAACATATATAGATATATATATGTAAAACCAAATGGAAAGTAAACAGGAAATAAAAAGCCCAATAATACAAGGTTTTTAAAAGGTTTGCTAAAAGTAAGAAATTAGAATCAGATCACAAAGCATTAACAAATTCAAAATGAATATTCAGAAGTAAAAAGAAAAAATTAAGCAAAAGACACCAGCTCAGCAGCTGTACAATCTGAATCAATGACAAAACAGAAATCAAATATTACCAGGATGCCTGGACCTTGCTGGAATACTTCATACAAACTCATGCAGGTAAGCAAAGGTAAAAACAATAGCAACAATCATAAAAAAAACAACAAAAAAAAGAGAAAGAAAAACAAAAACCCATACCCAAAACAAAACATTACACTGGAATTCACACAAACCATCAGTTGCATAACACAGTCTGTGCTTTTTGCCAAGACACCTAAAAGTGGATTTCATCTCCTTTCAAATAAACCACAGCTTGAATGTTTATGCCTTATAAATTTGTTTGACTTTTTTAGTTCCCACCTGTCAAAAGCATTGGTGATATTTGACCAGTGCCATTGTTTCCAGAAGCTGATGAACTCAACAAAGAGCCACTACTACCACTATCCCCAGTTTTCACACTTGCACCGCCTTGTACAGGGACCTGGGAATGATTCCTTGCCTTTTCGGACACGGCATTACCGGAACCTGAAAAAAGTTCTGCCTTAAATGCGTTCACTTGTTCATTGTATAACTTGTAATAGGTACCATAAGAAGCTGTCAAGAAAGGGTAGTTCCTAAGGAAATCCTGATGCATTTCTTTGATTGTCACCTTGTGCTCCCAAGGGCTGACGCAGTCCTCTCTCTTAAGACCAGGGATGCTCTTACCAGAGTGGATATACCCCTGGATGTGCTGCTCTATGTAAGCGGTTCTGTTCATCTCATGCTTTCTCAATGGTGGTAGCCCATTGTTGTAGTAGCTTGGGTTCATAGACGTTCCATCATCGTCGATGCCAAAGCCAAGCGTGCTCATGAAATGCAGCCTGCACACACGTATCTGTTTCCCACTCTTGTCAGGAAGGAAGTAACACTGCATCTCTTTTGTATGACGAGGGTTTAAGGAAATTGTGGTTTGCCGGACCAGAACTCGCTGTTTTAGAATCCACTGCTCCCGCTTTGGATAATCGCTTAGTGACCAGAACAAATTGTGGATTTCTTTTCTCCTCTCATCGTCAATTTTGCTGAAACATTCTCTATCACAACTGCAACCAGGCCTGATGGGATGCTCCTCTTTCATACGTTTATTTGCCAGCTTTCCTGCACTCATATTACTCTCTGGAAGCCGAGGAGACAAACCTGAAACACTACTTCCAGCTTCGCCACAACTTTGACTATGTGTTCGTTTCTCTCCAACGGATGGAAACACTGCTCCTTTATCTTGCCGAAGCCACTGGTCCCGATCACCACTCTCATTGGGTTTTTTAAAAGAATCGGAGTTATCCTCATTATCTAACAGCAAAGAGCTGTCGTTACCTTGCATATCTGCAAACTGAGTCAATGACTGCCCTGTCTCTCTTTCGAAAAAAGCCAGAAAATCTCTAGCATTCTGTGGCCCAAGCTGCGGGTTTCTATCAATTCCACCGTCAAACCCAGATGAGGAGTTACCGGCAAAATCATTTAGTGCATCTCTGTACATTTGATTTTGGTAATCAAAATACGGGTCCTTCAGGAGAGAAAAGTCTGTTGGAGAAGCTTTCAGAGTGCCTGCTTTCGCCATGTCTTTACTGTGTTCTACAAAAAAATCCTGGTAAGCCTGGTAACTAACATTCTCACCCCCGTGGCAGGTCTCAAAGTCATTGTAGCACATCTGAACGAACCCACAGCCATTGACCTTTGACCGCAGCGAGTTGAACTCCATCTTGAACTGCGAACTCTCAAGTTTCGAGTGGATGTGCTTCTTCACCAGATCCTTCACTTCGTCCGTGATGGAGTGTGTCCTTGGACGCCTGCCCCGTTGGTCAGCAGCAGCCACATTGGAAGTCAAAGGAGTAGAGTAGCTCAAAGCCTTGAGAGTGCTGTCACACTGAAAACCCAGAGTGCGGAGGAAGAAATCCTTACACACTCGAAACAGCTGGCCAAATTGATCAGGAAAGTAAAAAGTTCGACTTTCAGATTTCTTCCCCAGCCATTTCTTGCAGGTGATGTTGATCAGCTGTCGCTGCATATGATCTAGCATCCACTGCCTTCGTTTTGTCAGACTCTTCAGCCCCCAGTAGGCCTCGTTGATTTTCTGACGCTCATCCTCTGTCATTTTCTCGCTACAACGCAGCCGTGAGCAATTGCACGGCGGCAAAACAGGATGGTCCTTGCTATTTCCCTGCTCAACTTTTCTCCGCTTCAGCAGTATATTTGAACTGTCAAAATGCGATTCAGAACCTCTACCAAACCAAGACCGGTCTACAGACCCAGGGAGATTGTGCTGCATGTGCCCAAATGCTCCAGCCCCTGAGTAAGGGTAAGTACCTTGACCGCTGAAAGAGGCAGACACCTGAGACATTCGAGGTTCTGTGGAATCATTCTGGCCTAGACGCTGCTGGCTGAAAGACTCATCTGATCTCTGAGACCTATCCGCGGCAAAGGTCACCTTGAGAGAGCTGTCCGGGTCAGCAGTATTTGGTTCCTGATCAAAACTATCAGATTCTGATGTCATACTCGCAGCTGCAGAAAACGCCACCGGCTGTGAATAATCACCTGACTCATCATCAGTGGATCCAGATGAATCGGCTGAGAAGTTTTTGCTGGAAGCCTGAACAGCAGGTAGGTTTAAATCAGAAGGGTCAGAGTTCAAGGCAGTGATTTGAGTGATGCAATAAGATGGTTTGAAGCTCGTGCTTTCCTCCATTATTCAAGACGCGGAATGAAAGGCACTATCGAAGCGATTATGACAATACCATTACAAACTCTGTAGGTTGACGAGCTTTGTTGATTTGAGGACCTAAGTCAACACATACTTGTGACGACGAGCATTCTGTTGAACTTCTTGAAACAAAATGGACTTTTGTTACTTTCAACATCATCAAAAGTCTTTGGGGTTATTCACGAAGGGAATGCAGTCTTTAATGCCTTATTGGCAGACAGAAAAATTGCATAGTAGGGCCTACTTCAAAAGTGAACAAAGCTCAAGACAAAAGCTGGCACAGCTCAGCTCTTCTTTTCAATCAGCCATATCTGAGTAGTAACTCAATCCAATGTGGGTCAGAATCAGATACCTGGGGAAGAGAGAAGTAAAAAGCATGTCTATTATATTGAGGAGCGGGATCAATAATTTATTAAGTTATTAATTCCTTTTGAATAGAATCAAGGTTGCCCTATCAGACATGGTATTGGAAACCAACTGGAAAAAGAAAACGAGGAAGACAAATTGGAAGACATAGAAGCACATTAAGGGATGAGGCAATCACACAACTGGATTTGCAGAAATTGGAGGACCTGGCCAGGAACAGGCAAGCATGGCGTCAACTTTGCCTTGCTGCTTATCTGTTTTTGTCATCACTGTTACATACCAGAAATACAGCGGTTGCCAAACCAATAGACCCATATCTCCAAAACCCTACATCTCCTGACAGAAAATGGAGTCAAATTGGTAAAAAAAATTTTTTGCACCACTGAGTCTCAAGAGAATCTCACGTTTTGGCAATCACATTATACACAGTGATTATTCTCACCCGCGGTGAGAATAAACTGGATATTATTCTCACCCCGGGTGAGAATAAAATTTCATACTATTCTCACCGCGGGTGAGAATAACGACAGCCTACTATTCTCACCCGGTTTTTTAGTTTCGGGCATCATAGGACCCCTGTCACTGAGCGCTCCAGGCGACAAAACTCGCCTCCCTCCCTCTCTCACTCCGCTGAGCGCGCGAGTCGACTAAAATCGAGAACGGGCGGGCCAGCTCTCGGGCGCGGGAGGCGACTATTGTCGATTTGATCTTTTGACCAAATAGCATCACCTTTTGGTGATAGAGTATTAATTTATTGGTTCTGTAACGGAAAATTTTACTCTTGAATGTTTTAACCAATCAAAATTAAGAAAAAAATAAACCTAGGGTCAAGGCACTGCGTTCCTTAAAAATAATCGTGGGTTCTACTAGGGATAACAATCTTTAAACATGTTTTTTTGTGTTGTAAACAAATGCCAATTCTCACTTTACAAATGATAATCTATTACTATTATTTCATTAAACCGCTTTCAATTATCTTTAAAAACATACTACTCTGGCAAGTGAATTCCTTTCTAAATTTAGAATATATTTGCACTTGTCTAGGGTTTCGGTGAAGACATGCGTGCATACTCTCAACTCAAGATTCTAAAAAAATTAACCAATAACAATCCCTGCGGGAGCCTAGAAAAATCGGCCAGCGCTCTCGGGCAGGTCATGAACGGTCACTCTCTTACAATTCACAAATTATTTTCTATCATCCGTTCTCAACACCCAGGTAGACCTAAAAATCCATTGCATTCTCAGACCGGGTGAGAATAATATTCATTTTATTCTCACCCGGGGTGAGAATAACAATATAATATTACTTTCACCCCGGGTGAGAATAACAACAGCCTTTGGCAATTGCTCAAATTACATTTTGCTAGCACTTCTCTCCTCTCTATCTCTCTCTCACACACACGCAATCGGGTCTGGGCGCTGAAACTTTCCGAAATCACATAAGAGTTCCCCTACCCGGTCTGTATACTTTGTAACTTTGTTCCCGGTTATCGGGTCTGTATACGTTTCGATTTTGTTTTGTCCGGAAGTTCTCCACGGCGTCACTTTCGCCCGATTCTGTTAATTAGTTCGCAAGACTAACAGATGCTGTTCGTGTATTAGATCTACATTGAAGATGTATTCTAGCACTAAAATCGATTTGTACTTTTCATAGAGAAACTTCATGGTGACTTTTATTAACTTTCGAGAAAATGCGAATATTCACGATTATATTAGACACATAAAGTTGTATTTGGAGGAATTACTTCATAGGGAATTGTGTGCCCGATGGATAAAGTTGCAAAATTACAGCTTTCTATTTTATATATGCGCAGATACCATCTTTTCTGAGTATCTGCACCAATGCTGTGTCGTTCATGTTCCAAAATTTCGACAGATTTTGACGAGGCCTTTTTTTTACTAAGTGACTATTTCTCCGAACGTTCGGAGAAATAGTGCCCATCTTTATTTCTCCGAACGGTTTCCGGCTTCCGGTCTCGTGATGTTTTGCCTATTTATTGCGAGAGTTCGGCGCCAACTTTCATTCTGCCTCTGGTCTGGGGGAAGGAACACCGCATGGAAAGCCCGCCTACAGACAACCTTCAGTAAAACCCACCACACACCCACCACCATCATGCACATGTACACACACAAACTTATACACACACTAACTAAACAAACATGACCAATGGACAACTTTTGAACGTATGACGAGCTGAGCTGTGGATGGAGAGACAGTGTGAGTGAAAGAGCGGGTTAAAGGAAGAATGTGCGAGTGTATCCACACCCGACAGCAACTACAAGACGACGACACCGACCCCCCTGGCCTGGTCCACAGCTCACGAACGAAAATAATGCAGCTTAGGCAGTGTTTTGCCTATGTTATTGTCCACGGTTCGCAGGGTGCAAGGGAATGAGTGAGATTTTCTTTGTGTATGCCTGGAGGGAGGGGGTGGGGTGTGAAAGCCATGCGGACGGGGATGAGCCGCGGGAGAGAACATGGGAATTGAATGAATGAGTGAAACTGAAAAAGATGAACGACTCGTGAGCCCTGGAGTGAATGGATCCTGTGTTTCTATTTGTGTATACTTTGAACTGTTACTGAATGAAGGCTGAAATAAAGCCCGAAAAACAAACACACACACACACTCACTCTCCACTTACACACTTACTATCACACACAGACACACTCACACACATACACACACAGACACACTCACACACATACACACACACACACACACACAGGAGCAAATTTTTGGGTCTATATTTATTTCAATTTTCAAGAGCTAGTCTAGAGATTTTTAGATGAGTGTAAAAACGTGAAAAAGAAAGGTTTCACAACAGAATGAAATCAAAATTAGAACAGCCCATGATAATGATAAACAACAAACATTAACAAATAAGGGCGTGTGTCCACCTGTCCGAAGAAGATTGGCTGTTTTAACCCTAAATGTGAGTAATTTTTTTTTTTTTAAAGGAGAGGATATTACATGTAAATTATGGAATCACACACCTTAAGGGGCCTGCCAGTGTCGGTACATTATTGGTCGTGGCAGTGACCACCGCAGATGCCAGAGTTCTAATAGTTCTATGTGTCGTTATCAATAACCCTCCGTAGATCTAGATCTAGATCTAGACAGCACACGAGTGAACACAACACATTACGTTTAAGAGCAGCACCCTTCATAGGCAACTAGTCATATCTGTAGCGAAAAACTGTTTGGATTTGTAGCATTCTTTATATAATATTTACTGCGGACATTTTTTGGACCGCTTGAACCATATTGTATACGAACAATCTTTGGTAGGCCTATACTATAATTATAGATCTATATAATATCCGAAATTTGCTGGAAAGGATGTGATTTCAGAGTGTTCGGAGAAATAGTGCCCAGCTTTATTTTCCCGAACGTTCGGAGAAATAGTGCCTAGCTTTATTTTCCTGAACGTTCGGAGAAATAGTGCCGGCCTTTTTTTTATATTGATTTTTTTTCATTCATGCTAGTCCCCCAAAAATTACAATTTAACATTGCCGACTCCAGCGTGTTTAACGAAATAACCAGACAAGTTACAACGTCCGTTCTTTTTTGAGTCTCAAGAGCAGAAATGCAAGCTTTGGGTGCACTAAATGAGAACTACCAGAAAAATACAAGGATACACCTTAAATTGTACGTTGAAAAGTACCAAAACTTAAGTCGGCCCAGACAGAGTGGCGACAGGGAGCTGTCCCCCGTGACCCCGAAGTGATAAGGTGCCCGGCGGGGAACCGCCCGCGACAACTAAAATTTCACTGCCGGTGCGCCGTGTCTCGCGCTACCCCCCTCTCTCTCTCCCCCCCCCCCCTACTTTCTCTGTTAGAAATTTTTATTCGCCGGTTTAGGCCCCAAGAGCAGGGGGCTTTCAGGGGCAGCCCCCCTGACGTAATAAAAGTATGATGGGGGGGTTTCAGGGGGGCATGCCCCCTTGTAATTACCACCATAATTTGAAGTTTTGCAGTTGTTAGGTTTGATCTGATATCGCCGTGCATCGAACGTATAGATCTAGATCTCAAAATAAGGGGGGTGGGAACTACCGAAAAAGCACCCAAATAAGGGGGGAGGGGACTACCGAAAAAGCACCAAAAAAGATAAGCTGATGAGTAAGTCAAGGCCAAGTTGAAGATCTTGACTCCACCACCAACTCGGCCGACTATAAAAACACCTGCACAAACCAAGAAAAGTTGCAATGCATGGTTACCTAGATCTAGAATCTACATCTACTTTAAAACTTGACAAACTGAAACTGTCTAACATGTTGCATTAATAAATACTCTGCACTTTTCTGCAGAGTTTATAATTTAACTCGCACACTCACAAGTACAACGGTACAATGTTTGCAGATTGTTGTTTGGAACGGCAGCCATATTGAAGGTTTATCTGCCAGACAATTTCCAGAATAGATAATTAGATATTAGACTATTCATCAACTTGACTTGGCGAAAGTTATATTTTCATACCCTTCATCAATAGTCACGTTTCTTTGTCAAACTCAACAATTGCAAGTTTTAAAAGGATATACCACATCCAAAACATATCTAACACAAGAAAAAATTATTGTGGTAGATCTATTCCTTTAATTTTTTTGGGTACATGTCAACTATAAGCAATCTACTTGGCAGATGACGTTTTGTTATTGTTAGGCCTATCATACGAAACAATCCAAGAAAGATTTACACGCAATTTACGGTTTTACCCCAAGAAAAAAACCGGACAAAAATAGAGGATATGGGGTGAGGAGGGGTACAATTCTCTAGATAATAATATTAAGTCCGCTAACATACATGTATTTTGGAATCGAAAGTATGTGGTAATAATTTGTAATATAAAGTAAAATTGTTTGACTTTGACAATCTAGATCTATGTGGAACTTGCATTTCGTCTAGATCTAGATTCTACTAAGCATAATAATGATAATTTTAATAATATGGATACAAAGCACCACAAGACCATTTGACAAGTTTAAATAAAACTCTCCGAAACGTGTTAAGTATAAAATCAATTACTATGCACCTAAGAAAAAGTTATTTAAGTATTCCCCAATATGAAAGCCATTCTGAATTTGATATTGAGACGTTATTTTATAACTTTAGAGATTACTTTTTGTTCTACAGGTCTACCTTGAACTTGAACAGTACAGTTGAACTGTGACCTTAGCCTCAGCACAGCAGCAGGAACAGCAGGCAGGCTCCTTCCTTTGCAAGGTCGGAGAAAGTGAAAGTACGTAAGCTGCCTTTTATGTTTTCTTTGATCTGGTGGTGAATATCTGCCTATATTGTAGGCTACTTCATTGCTTGACGTGCGTCAAGTTAGGTTAGCATTAAAATTTCATTATAAGATGGACTTCCGTTACGAGCGACCACTATGAGACAGAGTAGAGAAGTAGAACAGGCCAGAGAGAGAGGGCTAACTTGGGGGTAGGGCCAGGGGTTTGAACGATAGGGGGGAAGATTAGGTAGGGTTAGATTTATAGGGTAGGCCGGTTCTGGTTTGGATTAGGATTGGATTCTAGGTCTCTTGTTTGGATACTATTTAAGAATGTGGGTCCCGTTTTGGGATACTAAGATTCTAGATCTAGTTCTAGATTCTAGTTTTGTTCCCATGGACGATCTACTTTTCTGGTTCTAACCTTTTGAATTTTTGATGGGCCTGCCGATATGGAGAGACTGATAGGCCTAGCCTATCAAACCTAATTGCGAAACATCAAATTATGGTCAAATTCCGGTTGGGGGGGGGGGGGGGCGTGTTTATTTTAGGTCGGGGGCCAGTGTTTTTTTAGGGGCCACCTTTATTCTCACCCGGAGTGAGAATAGTGCAGGCGAGTCTTGTGGCTATTCTCACCCGGTGCGCGTTCACCAAATTTTGCGTTCAACCTAAACCACAGAATTCTACACTGTGATAACAGAAAAATTGTAGAATTCTGTGCCGTGAACAAACGTTCCATTACAACTGTAGCCTACTAAAAGCGTACAATTTTGTCTGTGGGCAGTGGAGAGAGAGAGAGGAGTAGCGCGAGAATTTCCGGGCAAAACAAAATGGCGGCCCACGTAGTTCGGCTCGATTCGAAAAGTTAAATAGCTGTAGCATCTTTGTAGACAACCAAATTAATTTACTTTTGTGTTTTAAGTTAGTTTTAACATCATTTTCTAACTTTGTTTTGGTCAATTTGATCGTCCACACCGATAGACAGTATTCAGAAAGAGACAGAGAGAGAGAGAAGAGGGGAGGAGTTGATCTTGCGAGAACTTCCGGGCGGATGAGAATATCCACTTTCTTTTTTAGGTGGGGGGGGGGGGGGGCTAGATCGGCGCTTTTTCGGTAGTTCCCACCCCCCTTATTTGATAGAGCCTGACCTACATCTAGATCTATATACGTTTGATTCGCGGCAAGCTAAGATGTCAAACCTAACAACTGCAAAACATTAAATTGTTGTAAAATTCAGGGGGGCATGCCCCCCTGAAACCCCCCTACTCTTGGGGCCAAAACCGGCGAATAACAAATGCGGGGTGGGAACTACCGAAAAAGCGCCGCTAGATCTACTAGGGTAGAGGGTGCATATTTCGACACCCCTTCTGGCAGGTCTGAGACTGCTGCTGTGTTCATTGGTCTGTGTAGTCGGATAAAATCAATTGAGCGGCGAGGTTCTGTCACCAGATGGTGGAGAAACCTCTGAGAAACTGTTTGTTGTATAAAACAAGTGAATGTGCCTGTCAAGTTGACTGTAACCCTCTCTTAAAGTGTGTGGGGTGCGTAATTCAAAATTTCGACACCCCTTGTTCTAATTCCGACACCCCTGTGAGGGGAACTTCGACACCGGTTGTTCCAATTACGACACCACTGTGGGGAACTTCGACATCGCTTGGGGGGAAATGCGACACCCAAGGCCCGGACTGGCCCAGTGCTGTAGTTAGGCCTAGGCCTAGCCTAGGCTAGGCCTAGGCTAGGCTTGGGTCCAGGAGGTCGTGGGTTCGATCCTCGGCATTTCAGTATTAGCATTTCTTTTCTGCTTGACACACGGCATTAATTTCATTAAAGGAAAAGTAGTTGGTCTGTCGTTTGGCTAGTATACACTGACTGAGTGAGGCAAACATATTGCCCTGTCCTTTCACCTGATTGTGGTTTCGCTGCATCATCAAATCTCCACAATATTAGTATCACTACAATTATCATAATTATTAACATAACCATCAGCGACAGCAGCATCACTGACCTCAACATCAGTAACAGCTGCAACAACTGAATTAGTATTAGTTCATTACCATGATCATCACCAGCACCAGCATTGCCCTACCATCTTCATCATCACCATCACCATCATGTCATCATCTTTATCACCACCGCTACCACCAGCATCATCGTTACTAGGCCTATCACCCGCATCATCATCTCCACCACCATAACTGTAGAGCTCAAGGTAGTGCTAGTTTAGTAAAATCATTGAACAAGAAACAAGGCGTAAATCATCAAAATTTATTACTCTGGAATTCAGTGCAACACATGCTGCCCTCGCTGAATTCCTATCATTAGGCTACCAGGTGCAAAAGAACCCTATGAAAGTATTAAAAAGGAACAAAATAAAAATCAACAACAAAATGAAACAAAACAAACAAACAAATTTGACTTCTCAAGTTCAGTAGACTCATCTGAGTCATCTGCTGCTGCTGCTCCTATGCTGCTGCTGATGTTGCATTTATTCCTGCTGGTGCTGTTGCATCTGTTGTTGTTGCATCTGTTGTTGTTGCTGTTGCATCTGTTGTTGTTGCATCTGTTGTTGTTGCTGTTGCATCTGTTGTTATTGCATCTGTTGTTGTTGCATCTGTTGTTGTTGCTGTTGCATCTGTTGTTGTTGCATCTGTTGTTGTTGCTGCTGCTGTGGTTCTTGTTGTTGCTGCTGCTGTGGTTCTTGTTGTTGCTGCTGCTGTGGTTCTTGTTGTTGCTGCACTGCTGTGGTTCTTGTTGTTGCTGCTGCTGTGGTTCTTGTTGTTGCTGCACTGCTGTGGTTCTTGTTGTTGCTGCTGCTGTGGTTCTTGTTGTTGCTGCACTGCTGTGGTTCTTGTTGTTGCTGCTGCTGTGGTTCTTGTTGTTGCTGCTGCATTTGTTTCCACTGCTGCTGTTGTTACTGTTGCTGCTCTTGTTGGTCTTGTTGCTGCTGCTGTTGCTGCAGCTGCTGCATCTGCTGTTGCTGTTGCTGCATCTGCTGCACACACACACACACACACACACACACACACACACACACACACACACACACTCATACACACACAAACACACACACACACACACATACACACTCACGAACATACACACACAAACACACACACACACACACACACATACACACTCACGAACACATAACACGCACACATGTACACACACATGTACGCCAAACACACACACATGCACACACACACACACAAACACGCACATACGCGCACACACACATCTACTTGCTTATCACACGCACACGCTTACACATCGTCACGAAATGAGCAAAAAATAATATTCACACTGCAATTCACAAAATACATAAATGGATACATAGTCATATACATAACATTGTATTGAAAATGAATCTACTGACATAGTGTCGAAATAACCCACAGGGGGTGTCGACATTACCACCAGGGGTGTCGAAATAGCAGCATGGGGTGTCGAATTATTGACAGAAGGGGTGTCGTAATTCTGAGAGTGGCATTTTTTGATGTGGGGAAATTCGACACTTTTTGAGCACATATTTTACCAGTTTAAAGCAATAAAATCTATCAAATTTTGTTGAAAACAGCAATTTTAATCATCTAATATTCATTTAGTACATTCATTTATCACATACAGCCTTTTACACAAGAAATAGGACTTGTTTACTCACCTTGTGATATTGCTGCTTTAGAAACACGGAGCTTGAAAACGTTCGAAATTGGACGCGCAAAAGAGCGGTGTCACTTCTTGGGGGTTTATGGGAAAACTATTACACCTATATTTAGAAATGACGCACATAATTAAAAAAAGATAGTTCGGCTGCCGGTTAAAAATAGACCCGCGCGCATAAGTTGTAGTATTTCCGCACCGTTCGTTGTTTTTGGAGTGCACCCCACGAGGGGTGTCGGAATAGCACACAGTGTCGGAATATGCACCCTCTACCCTACTGAAAACATCGATCTAGGCCTACTGAATATTTAAATCAGAATCGATATCCATAAAGCCTACTCTGTGGATGATGCCAAGTCTAAACAGATGGGACCAACATTCTTTTAAAGTCCTTTCAATAGGTATTGATATTAGTTTAGTTTTGGGTAGATAAAAATTAAATTATATATCCAAGAGAAGTAACCCCCTTGACTGACTCGACTCTAAACTAGACTTACTATTCACTAATCTAATAAGAACACTTTGATTCGAGCGACAATTATCATTTAAATGTATCACATCTTCTTTTTTAATGGTAATCAACTTTTGAACCCTTTTGTACCTCCTGTCTATAGACGACACCGCATGCACACGTGCAGGCACACTTTATTTCACTTTGTTGTGTGTCTGTACTCTGCTTCTCATGTGTAGGGGGCCTAACCACAGACACGGAGGATATTGCGAACCTCTTTCACTCCCTCGATCTGTCTTGATTCTTCCTGTTCCTCTCAGTGTCAATCGAAAACATGCATACACTTGGTATTCAAAACAAGAAAATATGAGCATGTATGACAGCGAGTGAAAGTGAAAAAGCAAAAAGAAGAAGAAGGGTGGTTGTGTGTCAAAATGGTGTTTAAAGGAAGAGAGAACTGTCACTGATGCTTTTTTGTTGCGAGTATCGAAGCAGATATTTTGTGGATGTGATCATGAAAGTGAAAGACATTGTTTTATTACTACTTTTAAACTGTCCGACAAATATTTTAAGAAATGTGGTTGTGCTGTATGTAGATTCTTTTAGAATGTTGGTGAAAAAATGGTAGGTTAAATGCCTCTATCAACACCGTTAGGTTTATAAGAGGCGGGACCTCTGAGTTAAACGTCCATCTCCGAAAGGACCGAGCCAAGTGGGAAATTCATGTAAAGTGCCTTTCCCCCAGGACACAATGTTAGACCGAGCTGAGGCTCGAACTCCAGTGCCCGTAGTCTCGCGATTATGAGTCCGGTCGCCTAACCACTGGGCTACAGATGCCACTCTTATCTTCTAGTATGTATGACAGAAAAATGCCCTTCGTCTGAAGAAAAAGTGCACTTAACTTAATTTCAAAATCTCAGTATTGAAAAGGAATATCGAAAATTCTTTTCATCTATGGCTTGTCTATTTCTAACAATCTTATGGGGCTCTCGTGGTCTGGAGGTTAAGGTGTTCACCTCTCACTCAATTGTCCTGCGGTTCGAATCCGGATAGCGACGGGAAAACTCCTTTCACATTCTTTCCTGCTCTCTCTAACAATGTCCTGTCGCCTGCTTTCGTCTCCACTTTCTGTCCCCACCCCCACACCTCCTTTGCCCCCTACTTTGGGCTCCTGATTCTTTCTGCTTCTTCTTACTGCAGTCTTTCAACTTTCAACCACATCACTGATTTTATGGTAGGTAAGATCTAACACCTAGCCTTCTCGAGTAAGGGCGAAAAATCTCGGAGGTCACGTGGGCAAGTTGCGCAGCGCACGTTCCTTGGTGATCCATAATCGATAAGAGTAGGCTTCGGCCGCCACCTGGGCAAAATAAAAAATTTCCTACCATTAAAATGTTAAACGTGTCCAGCGTGCTCATAATGACATTGCTATGCAGTTGTGAGCGTGGTAAAACACTAAAAAAAAAAAAAAAGAAATAAAATAACAGTCTGTCATTCAAAGGTTTTACAAAATTGAAGAAAGGTTTGAATTTGGTGAAAAAAAATCAGATTCTATTTGACACAAAACACATTTTAAACAATTCCGTGAAACTTTCTTTCTCTGTGCAGAACTTTTTTCTTGCATGTATTTAATTTGAATTTGTGAACAGCAGTTTTCTAAACTGAGCAACCTTATTTAGAAGCAGTTCTTTTACATCTTTAGATTTTAAATTTTGTATCAAAAGTAAAAGAACAGAATATTACTGGTTTGAACTATAACTTTATAAAGTTAAGTTATATAAAAGCTGGTTTGTTTTCATTGACTTCGCCCAGATGATGAAAAAAGAGAATCTCTTCTCCAGTAGGTGTATAATTGTTGCAATGTAAATAATTTGCTTTTTCTATTTGATTGTTTAATAAAAAGTTAAAACATTGTTGAGATTGCTGTCCAAGTCACAGTTGACTATAATTCCATGATGACAAACAAGGCTACTATCACTTGAACCCAAAATTATTCTCAGAACTTTGTAGTGTCTTTCTTCTTTCTGTATTCCTAAGTTATTCAGCGTATTGTTTTTGAACATTTGTAATCATACACCCATCATTATGGTTTCAAACAGATGATGAATGTAACGAAGGGAAAGGCATGGCTCTCAGGAGCTGTGCAGCTGCTGAACAAGCACTTTCGACAACAGATGGCCCCTTCAGTCGCCATGGCAACGGCATCATCTGATGAGAAACCATTTCAATATCAAGACATTCTTGAACTTCAATCTAAACATGATGTGCCATACAGGAAGCTTACAGGTATAATACAGAGATGAATGTTTTTGAATAAAATGCATCATTCATGTATTTTACATAAGTGCAGTTTAGCACACTCATTACTTATTGCGGAATCAGCAGGATGGGGAAATCTTTTTTGTTTTTTTCTGAATTTTACTACAATGTTTCAAAAAGGAAATCTATATATTTGGCAACTTGGAGACACATCATGTGTCACTTTTTCCGTAAAACTACGACAGCTACAAAGTTGAAAGTTGGCAAGTACCTGCAAAAAGGTAGATAGGTCCCCTTGATGGAGCCCGATTTTTGAATTATTCATTTCCTGAATTTAGAAAAATATTTTGGACAAAAAGTTCCAGTCCTTCTAATCTTTGGCCTTTGTGATTATTCCACTGAGAAATGAAACTAATCTGCGTAGCTGTACTTCTCAGCAGAAGTGCCGGAAGTGATATTTCGCGAGGCGCATTTTGTTTTGAGAGTATAGTAAGTTCTGGACCTTCTGAATTTTTGCATCTCTCAAGATTTATTGTTCCATTCCAGTAGAGTGTAAATATAGTAGGCCAATGACTTTCAGTTGATGTTAATGCACTGATTATTCTTTTCATAGAAAGGAGGCCCAGGTAGTACATTATACATGTGTAGAAAAAAATTGGGACCTGTGAATCTGTTCGTTCTGTGTGTTCTAGACTGTTATAATAATAGACTATATCCTTGCCATTATTAAATTAATCCTGTTAAGGGATGCTCTCTTATTTTATTTTTTTTCCAGATTTGTTCAAAAGCTGCTTTTAAAAATTTTTTAGATTCCCTTTCTCCCTGTCACTCTGCAGGAAAAGATCCTTATCACACAAGTCGCTCATTTTGACTAAAAATAATTTAATAGCTCTCCTTTTGTTAAAATATGATCACATATTAATTTTTTGTGTAGGAATACCTATTTTTTGTACATGTTCTAATTTTGTGTGTAGGAATACCTATTTTTTGTACATGTTCTAATTTTGATACAGAGAAAAAGAGACAAGTTGTGCTGGTCGCATAATAATAATACATTATATATCGCACTAACAAGAATTTGTAGGCCTAAACAGATGTCAGATCTCTTCTACCTTATCTTTCAGCTGATCAGTTTTCCCATGAAAAGACTCATCTTTTGGCTGATCAATCCCCCCCCCCCCAATGAAAAGACTCTTCTTCTCTCACTCTCAATGTCCAGGTGACTTTGTGTCTACAATGGAGGTAAAGGGAAAGAAGGTGCTGACAGTTGAGCCAGAGGCTCTCACTCTTATCGCTGAGAACGCCATGATAGACATTGCACATTTGTTGAGGCCAGCTCATTTGCAGGTAGCTATTATATTCAGTGTTGTCCAGAAAGATGTACTTGGCTTTTTTTGTTTTGTTGTTAATGCAATGGTGGAGGAGGAGAGGTCTTTAGAAAATAATTTATGTGTACTTTCTAAAAATGTAATGTGCTCGGTGCTGGTAGGCTTTCTGTCTTGCAGAAGTGAGGATGATTTTATCCCACCGTTGTATGGTTGTTGTTTTTTAAAAGTTGTTATCTATGTCTGAAAACATAACCTCTGCCTAGCTGAAGAAAGGAACTTTTAAAGATTGTATAAATTAGTGTCATCATTGTGATGAATAAACTTTTCACTATTATTGTCATGTAAGACAGCTCTACACTAAGACCATATATATGCAGCTTTGATAGTTACTGAACATACAAGAGCGATATAGGCTATATGTTGTGACATGATAAAATGAGACGCTCGTCAATTTTTGGGCCTGTGGAGTTATTGGTAAAGTCGTAAAGTTTATTCTATTATCTTGCTTTAGATGAATAAATTTATTATCTTGAATAGAGATTGAGATATTTGTGATTGGAGAAGGTGGAGTTCGCTACTGATGATATTTCTCTTGTTGTGTCTCTGTTCACTTGTCTCGTCTGTCATGGCATTTATGTCCCTCAGTGTGTCTTATAGTCGTGCTTTGTCCACTGTCCATTCACCTGTGCCTTAGGGTCAGTCACCGTACAGCATTCAAACTAGAAAGACATTGTTTTGATCAATGAAGCCAAGCCTTCACGTATGGACCATTCATCTTGCTTTATGACACTGCATAGTTGATTTTGGACCCCTTTTGTTACACCTGGGTGTCTCACCTTTTTGGCAAATGCTCATATAGAATTTGCATACCTGGAGTGCCTTTAGTATAAATTTTTTGCACCATACTGCAGACCTCTTTGTTGTGTGCTAATTTAAGTCCTTGGTCACTCTTACTTTATAAAGTCAAATGGTCAAGATTCTGTGTGATCAAGGTTTTATAACTAGTTTAGCCTAGACTGATGAGTTCATTATTCTGTACCCACAGCAACTGGCTAAGATCCTGAAAGATCCAGAAGCCTCCTCAAACGATCGTTTTGTTGCCCTAGAGCTACTGAAGAATGCCAACGTGGCAGCAGGCATGGTACTTCCAGGATGCCAGGACACAGGGACAGCGATTTGTATGGGTAGGACTTGACTTTGAGCTCATAGATGATAAAAGTTACTATAGGTGATAGTGTGACTTGGATTTGGAACTTTTGATTGCGCTTTGCCTTTTCCAGAAAAGAAAAGGGGATTTGAGCTTTTGCAGTGTTTTCATAATGAAGCGCAGGTATGAACGAGATACAGTATGCACTGTACATGTGTTGAATAAGATGAAATGTTTTGCTTTTTGTGAAAAATGGCAAAACATATTTCTTCCTCATCTCTTCTGCTGTAGTTGTGTTAGTTGCGATAAATGTGTTGTACTTAATACTCAAGTCCCTAGAACATGCACTTCGACATGTCAGAAACTTAACCACCCTAATAGAATCCTTGTTGACAAGCGGAAACCTAATCAAAGACTAAAAAATACAAAATCTGTACTTGACACTGTTCTCAATCTCCAAGAAAAACATCACCTCCCTGAAAGACGAGAACCTCTGGAAAGAGTTCTCTCAACTCTCCCACCACATTTCACCATAGCAAAGCCAGAAATTAGGAAAACACTTTTGGACAAGAGCAATAAAAACACATATCCTGTAGCACTAAAACATTCTGCCCTTGAAACAATTGATTCCTATCCACCAACATGGATCCACTCATACACTGATAGATCTGTCTTTAAGGCAACAATCAACGCTGGATATGGGTCAGTGATCAACTTGCCCAGTGGGATAAAAAAAGAAGTCTTTAATTCCAGCGGATCCTTCTGCTCCAATTTCATTGCCGAACAACAGGCTATCACCAACACAGCAAACTACATCAACTACTTGTTTGACACTAACCCACTTGCTACCACAGACATCGTTATCTTTACAGACAGCCTTTCTACACTAGAGACATTTGAGAGTGGGACTGATGTGAACAAAGATATATTGCACTTGATTTGGAGTCTACATAATTTGATAAGTAGGCACCACGTCAGAGCAGTCCTACAATGGATTCCTGCCCACACTGGGATACCGGGAAATGAAAGAGCTGATGCTCTTGCAAAGAAAGGAGCTAGCCTCCCTCAGCCTGAAATTCCTACAAATTACACCACCTGCTGCAAAATGATAAAGTCAAACCTCAAGGAAGAGTGGATGAATGATTGGGCCACAGGTACGACAGGAAGGATGATGTATGGCCACATGAATAAACCACTGGTCAAAGATCCAATCAATGAGTTGAGGAGGGGAGATCAATCCATAATCTTGCAACTTAAAACACAACATGTACCCCTCAACCAACATCTCAACCGAATTGGAGTAAAGCAGTCTGCTGCCTGCCCACTATGTGACTACCCCTCAGAGACAGTGGAACATCATCTGTTCTTCTGAAGAAAACTAACTGATTTAAGGGGATGTTTTCTTCCCTAGCTACCCCACACATCTAATTGCCTCTACTCCTCAAGACCACAATTAGAACAGACATGCAGCTATTACCGAATGGCATCATGCAGAAGAGTTAACGCTCAGATGCTACTGGATCGCTAACAACAACAACAACAACAACAACAACAACAACAACAACATGTCAGAAACTTGTATTAAAGAGTCTTACCTGACAATGGCTGAGATAATTTTGGAACGGATTTGATGGTGCCATCTCTTTCAGCTTTGCAATCTGAGCCACAGTCCTTGCTTGACCCTCAACTTCTTGTTTTTATTTATATTTCCTGGTAACGGCAGAATTGAATTTTTATGCTTTATTTCTTTTAAAGCACCAAGAATGCACTTTTCTGTTTTCAACAACTTTAATATAAAAATGTCTTATTTGAAGTTTTACTGTATGCTCATCATTTTATAAACAAATTGCTTCAGATAATTTTTTTCATAAAAATTCTTTGTTCTCTTCTAGGTAAGAAGGGTCAGTATGTGTGGACTAATGGAAATGATGGAGAAGCTATTTCTCGAGGCATCTACAACACCTACACTAAGAAAAATCTTCGCTATTCCCAGGTGATTAGTTGTAAAGAGAAAGATTAAATTTGTCTTTTGTTTTTAGTTGAAAGAGTGTTTGCCAACATGTCCACTCCGTCAAACAGCACTAAACAGCACAAGTAGCCGGTATTTAATTTGTACAGTTGAAATGATTGTCGAAGGCGGCCACCCATTGCTCAGGAGAAAAGTGGCCATCTTAGGCAGGCGGCCGTCTTACGCAGTGTCATTTGAATGCAAAAAAGTCGCAACGGGGGGAGGAGGAGGGGGGCGAGGAGGGGAATGGGAATGGGAAGTGGCTGTTTGTACAAGTGGCAGCTAGAGCAGGCTTGACAGTTTGTTGTCTTTTTTAATTAAAGATTGAAAAGAATGTTGATTGACGTAAGTTGAGAAGAAGTTAGCCTTTACAATATCCTTTTTTTTTCTTTGGAGAATATTAAAAATTGTATTGATGGGGGCGTAACCCCCCCGCCCCCTACACTTAAAATGAAATTGTGTACCACAGTTCTTGTTATATTGCATTATATTGCATTGTATATTTTTAGTGAACACATTTTCAACCTCACTGCGAGAATGTTTTTCTGATATAAAATTTTACACATATGCATTTATATTATATGTATAATACTTTGTTTTACGTACACATTTGTGTCGATTAATTTTTAAGATGTGATGTCTTTTTCATTGTAATGCGCATTGAGCATCTTTTAGGAAATGGAAATGCGCAGTATAAATGCTATTTATTATTATTATTATTATTATTGTTTTCTGTCAGGTGGCACCACTGGACATGTACCAGGAAACAAACACCCGCACAAACCTGCCGGCCCAGATAGAGATCTACTCCACAGACTCGAACCAGTATGACTTTCTCTTTATTGCCAAAGGTTTGTTTCTTAGGTTTGTTAGTAAGCCTTTGAACGCCACCTGCAACACAATTAGGTCATATAAGCACCAAAGATTTGTGCTAATCCAGCACTGGTGTGGGAAAAAAGTGGCCCACCGCATTCTTGAAAAAATATCATATAAAGTGCAAGTGTTGTTTTGAGTTACTTGCTTTGGAATAGAAATAATAATGTGTGAGATGAGCTGACACAATGGTTGTAGCCCTATGGACATAGATAAATATCTAATGTAAAGGTTTTATTTGTTCACACTTTAAAAAACGGTAACAGATGAAAATCTACAAATTTTGATTTATCGATTTTCAACCGACATCTCCATTCGTAGATTTTGAGAAGTAACTCATTTTGTCAGCACGCATCGCATATTACCTACCTGGAGGTGTTATCTCTGACTCAGAGGTTGACGTGTAATGACCCTCCATCCTTCACTGTCGTGAGCTGCCATTGCACATTCTGCTATATCCGAGCCAGTCCATGTTCTTTTGTTGTCCATCTGTGTTATTCTTTGTCTTCCCCTGGCTCTCTTGCCTCACATCCTTCTTTCAATCACCTCTTTCACGATGGTCTCGTGTCGTTTTACGTTACCGAAGTATTGTATTTTTCTACATTTGTGAGGCCTGCTGACAAAATGAGTTACTTCTCACAATCCGCAAATGGAGATATTGGCCAAAAATCGACACTAGGGTCAAATTTGTGGATTTTCTATTGATGCCATATTCTTTAAGAATAACATGGCTTTTATTGTTTCATACTTATAAATTGTAAAAACTTCACTTATAAGTTTGATGTATATGTATTTCCATAGAGCTCGAATCAGAGAAATAACTCATGTTGTGAGCGCGCTTCATATTTTATTTCATTCAGCAGGGTTTGTCTTGTGTGGAGAATCTGACACACCTCATTTCTAACCTTTTTTGCTTTCCCAACATACTATTTTGTGTTTATCTCAGTTTCACTGGATGTATGGTGTAATTCATCATCATCAGTGCCTTTCACCCCTGGCAGGGTATAGGCCACATACAAGCTCCTTCCATTTATCTTTGTCCTGGGCCATCCTTCCTAGCTCGTTATGGTGTAAATGGACATTGTAATTCCTGGACTCTTTTTCTGCTTCGTCATTGCTGTTTTAGAGTCCCAAGTTACAATAGTAAAGTGTGGAGATTCTGAAAACAATATTTGATTTGTTTATCTCTGCATCACATTTGTTCAAGTAGGCTCTTGTTTTAAGTAGGCTCTTGTTTTAAAAGCAGCACTCTCTGTAAATTTTAAAATTGTTTTCATGTGTGAAAAATGCGTTTTAGAACGATGGGGGCATCCAAATAAAATGTTACAATGTTTCAAAGGGAGATACCTGTAAATGTTGTTGTGCCTTTTCTGTTCATTTGTGTTTTGTTTTTCATTTCGCAGTGCTGCGGTCTGTTAGTCTCATAGCACTACCCTCTACATATATATTATAGTTCGTGTCTGCCGATTGCCAAGTATTCATGGGTGGTTGGCGGGTGCTCTGGTGTGGTTTACTCCTTCTTTCCTATCAAACATCTATCGTCTTTATCTCCCCTCCTTCTTTTTTGTGTATGTTACTCTCTTGTAACACCTCTAATTGTTCGGCACTTATATATGACCTTACTGTGTTGCAAGTGCCGTAGCACTTACTAAAACTAAAAACTGCCAAGTATTCCTTTAAACTGGAAAGAGGATCTTTCATCAGGGTGCAAAGCCTGACCTGCCGGAGTCAATATTCAAACTCACAAGTGCTTTTATTGCCTTTCCAAGGCCTAACCACTCAGCAAGGACACCCCAGACCCACCTGTGGGTGGTTGGCGGGTGCTATGGTGTGGTTTGCTCCTCCTTTCCAATCCAACATCTATCATCCTAATCTCTCCTTTATTGTGTTTGTTACTCTCTTGTAACACCTCTAATCTTTGGCACATGTTTGACCGTATTGTGTCGCAAGTCCCGTAAAACGCTTACTAAAACAAAGCACAAAACTCACCTCATGTACTTGTTCTCTATTTTAGGAGGTGGTTCTGCCAACAAAACTTTCTTGTACCAACAGACAAAGGCTCTCCTCAACCCAGAAAAGCTGTTGTCCTTTGTGAATGAAAAGATTAAGGTAACGAACTTTCTTATGCCTCTCATGTGCTGTGGGTAGTTGGTGTGTGCTCTTGTGTGGTTTGCTCCTTCTTTCCTTTCAAACATCCCTCATCTTTATCTCCCCACCTTCTTTTTTTGTGTTTGTTACTCTCTTGTAACGCCTATAATCTTTGGCACATATTTGACCTGTGTTGCAAATGCTGGAAAACGCTACATAGTTTACTGTATTTTGACCTTTTTCCCTGACTGTTTATAATTGTCCTATGTTGACTGGCTATCTCCAACTAATTTTTTCCTTGCCTTTCCTTTTCTTTTCTTTTCTTCCTTTTTTTGATAAAACTATGTTCCTGTATTGATTCAAGTTCCAAAATGAATTGATGATACTGCAGCCTGTCCCTGTAACCATTAAGCAATGAATTATTTTTACATGTTGACAAATATCCTCCTTTCTTTATTTGGTATTCAGTTATTAATTTTTTTTCCTACTTCTTATCTCTCAGACCTTGGGAACAGCGGCCTGCCCACCTTACCACTTGGCTCTGGTGGTTGGTGGTACATCGGCGGAATTCAATCTGAAGACAGTGAAGCTGGCCTCCACTAAGTACCTGGATCCTCTTCCTACTTCAGGTGACATTGTGAAATTATGTTGCTTTATTAATTAATTTTCTTTGTAAAAGAGAAGTCACTATTTAGATCTGTGCTGGAAGCGAATATCGTCGCCCGGGTATAACAACCCTGTATCCCACAAAAACATAATGTTACGGGAGAAGGGAAAAAACTTTGTCAATTCCTCTAACATTGTTAAATATTAAATTTGGGATGTTGCACTGGTGATGGTTACTGAGCTACATTTCTAAAAATTTGACACAAAATCCGCAAAGTTACATTTAGTAGATAAAAAAAAGCAAAAAAGTGTTTTTTGACATAGTGTGGGTTACAGGGTTGTTGTACTCAGACGAAGATATGTTCAGTTGTGTTTTTGGAAGATACATGGAACATTTGGATAATGGGCAAGTCAAATTAGTATGGAAGTTGTTTTTTAAAAAATGGCCTTCCTGGTTGTTCTGCCACATCTACCCCATAAATAATCAGCCTCAAGGATTCACCCTTTGATTTGTGCAAAGTCACATTTGACATGAATGCTTTTGTCATGCCTCCGACTAGACAGACAGACAGACAGTCTGACAGACAGACAGACAGACAGGCAGATGATCCGCGATAGATAGATAGATACATATATATGCTAGCCACTGTAAAGAGTAATAATATAATGATTAGTTATTTTAATGATTTAATATAATTACAGTCTTATATAACTGTTTTATAATGTCACTGCAGGTAACGAGCACGGAAGGGCATTCCGAGATCTTGATCTTGAGAAACAGATCTTTGAAATGACGCAGCAGATTGGCATTGGTGCGCAGTTTGGCGGGAAATATTTCTGTCATGACGTGAGGGTGGTGCGTCTACCCCGCCATGGAGCCTCCTGTCCCGTCGGCATCGGTGTCTCCTGCTCCGCAGATAGACAGGTCGGTACAGCATAGCTGCCATTATCAGCTTAATAGCGGAAGTGGGTGGTTGGTGGGTGCTCTGGTTTGGTTTGCTCCTTCTTTCCTATCAAACATCTATTGTCTTTGTCTCCCCTCCTTATTTTTTGTGTATGTTACTCTCTTGTAACACCTCTAATCTTCGGGACTTATATGACCTTAGTGTGTGACAAGTTCAGTTAAACTCTTACTAAAATTTAAAATAATGGAAACTCCAATACCTGCGCTTCATCTAGCTTTTCCCTTTACTTTCCTCCGTCCTCTGCTGGACCACTCTCTGTAGCATATTGCGATACTATTTTTAATGTGCGGAAAACATTAAACCGGTAGTGAGATGAAAACGTGGCTTGCACATGTCCGCCCGTAGCTTCCTACTTCCGTTCTGTGCCTAGTGCCCAAGCGCTTAAGTTTCACATTGTTTATTGTGAAGCGGCAGTGTCGACTGTCGATCGATCATCTGAATGAGGGCGGGCTGAGTTGTCATTGAAAACAGCGGAAATTCGAGAGAAATTGATGCAAAATGCAAAAATAAATGGAGCTGGATTAAGAAAGAAACAGACGTGTGATTTCAACAATTCATTAGATTGAGAAAATTGAACAAGCTGGATGCTGCACTTTGCGTTTGGTGCGATAAAGAAATCTGGTTACAGTGGCAAAGGTGTTGCCTCCGTAATCCAATAGACCTACTGCTCTAGATGTACATGGTTGCACTAGTCAAAAGTGAAAGAAATCTTTTTATGAGACACTAGCTGGCAACAAACACTGGATTTTTGGTCGCCAAACTGTGTCAAATGCTTGTTAATGTATTGGTTGTTTTTTTCGAATACACTTTTTAATTCAGTATGGTTAACAAATATGACACTTTTCCCTTCCAAAAACATAGATGTTCCAAAGTATTGCCTCTGGATCTCACTGGTTTTACTCCGGCCTTTGGAGTGTGTGCATACACCTCTGAGAATTTCCTCCTTTTTTGAAATTCCTGAGTGGCAGCTATGTACAAATAAGCTGGTTTAGGTGCATGCTGGCTTGCTACAGAAAGTCTTTACAGCTGGAAATTTTTTTAACCTACCTTGAAAGGGTAAACATTTGAGAGCTTGATCTTTTAAATTTGAAAGATATTAATATGTATTATTGTGCAAAATATCTGAAAATATTTCTTTGACAAAAAAAGTACCAGCAATCAGTCTGTTACGTAATAACAGAACTATTGGCTTATAAATTGTGAATCGTACTTGATTTGTAAGCACAATGCATCAGAAACTGTCTTTGACTAAATATATGTTGGAAAGAAAAGTGTCAATTGTCAGTTATGGGCAACGTTTTACTTGTTTATCATGCTAATTCCAAAAAGTGAGGAGATCATCAGGAAAATAATAAACATTTTTCTTTTATGAGTAACGAAACGAATAAGCTTTCACCAATTCTTGAGTTGAATATCTTACTTGCACTTTGTGTAATGAAAGAATTATATTGCTGAAGTCAGTGTCAAATATACAAACATTTTTACCTAAAAAGATAGCAAGATACCATGCTTACAATTTTTCTTCTAACCTCTATCCACATCCGTTCCCTATAGATCAGAAATACAGATTTTACTTTTAAGCATTGGTGAAAAATTACGTCCTCAAGCAGATACAGTAAAACTTAGACTGAGAGTATTTGACATGATTTTTTTATCATATGAATTCGAACCTGGTTGTTTGTTTTTTTTGCTCTCAGATCCTGGGTAAGATCACAGAGGACGGAGTTTTTCTGGAGCAACTGGAGGCAAATCCTGGCCAGTACCTGCCGGAAGTGGAAGACAAGGACCTGGGAGGGGACGTCATTAAGGTACGTTCTACTGGGACATTTCTTCACTTGCCTCATTCATCCTGGTATTGGGTATACTGCCGAAAAAGCTGACCAACCACCTTTTATTTGCTACAGCGAAAGCCTGAGGTTTTTGAACAGGCTGGTGAGTGGTTGGCGGGCACCACTGGTAGGTCCTACTGCTTAACTTTCCATCTGTTCTTTCTGTCTGTCTCTCTTATTTTTTTCCCCCAGCTCCAGATGACTATATAGTGTCGATGTGCTTTTCTTTACTCAAACAAACAAAACCAAAATGAACGGGCTGCATCCCTGAGCTTTAGCATTTAACTCTGATAGGGCACTGCCAAGAGGATGGCAAGCCTTAACACTTGAAGATCCCCAATTGTCTCGGTTTGACCTGATTGTGTTGCAAGTGCTGTAAAATTCTTACTGAAAATAAAGTGCCGTTAAATTCTTCCTAGAACAAAAAACCAAAAAAATTCATGTTCAGAAATGTCCTGGTTTCATGTGTAATAGTTTTTTTTAGCTCTTTAACTTAAAAATTAAAATGCATGCATAATGTTTTTGATTTTTTCACATTCCTTCCCCTGCTCAGCAGTTTTCTGTTTTTTTATGAGTTTCTAGTCATTTGGGGATTCGATGATACCTGTAATTAGAGAGTGGCGTGTGATTAATGAGTGACTAGTTCTTAATGAGAATCAAGCGGTTTGTTTGAATGACTTGGAGCTTTCTTTTCAAACTCTTCCGTTCCTTGTTCAAAATTTGTTTCGGTAAGCCCCTGGTTTAGGGTGCCACTGATAGGTCCTACTTCTTTACTTTTCTAACTGTTGTTTCTGTCTGCCTTTCTTTCTTGTGGGTGGTTGGGTGGGTGCTCTTGTGTGGTTTGCTTCTTCATTCCTATAAAAAATCTATCATCCTTATCTCCCCTTCTTCTTTTTTATGTTTGTTACTGCCTTGTAACACCTCTAATCTTCTGGCGCTCATATGACCTCATGCAGTTGCGAGCGCCGTAAAACCTGTACTAAAACTAACTAAACTTTCTTGCTTTGTACCAGTGCTACGTTGTAGTTTATTGTGCCAAGGGGCTTCTCTTTACTCTCACAGACAAACAAACATTGTTTTAGCATGCTTTTCGAAGAACATCTTTCATGACCCTCTGTCCCAATGCTTATGAATCACTTACTATCATAACGGTTGTGTTGATGGGGGCTTACAAATATCGCTTTCTATTGTTACAAACGTGATGCGTCGTGGTGAAATCAGGCGCTTGTGATAATAATGAAATCGAAAAAACTGCGCCAGTTTAGCAATTTATGTTGAATTTTTTTTTTTTTTGGCTCAACACCTTTTATGTCCAATAAAAAATAATTTCCATGTGAATTTTACTATTAAAAAAAATACCAGTAAAAGCAACAAATTTGTAAATGTTCAGTTTTCAAGGAGTCTCAAGTTATCAAACTTTGGCGGCCTTTTTCTAGCTAATTTTACCTCTGAAACCAGACGACCTCTCCACCTTCAATTGCCAATACTTTGACTTCTAATCTAGATAAATGGGTATTTCTTTCATTGAAAGAAAGGCAAATGAATAGGTTTACAGATGATACCAATAATTGCGCTTGACCAAAAACTGCCAAGCAACTGATTCCACACCGGGTCCTGACAAGTCACAGTTGTGTTGATGGGGGGGCTTACAAATCACTTTTGTAAAAAAAATTTTCTTCTTCTCCATCAGGTGGACATCAATCAGCCCATGCCGGAAGTGCAGAAGCTGCTGAGTCAGTACCCTATTAAGACGAGACTGAGCCTCAGCGGCACGCTGGTTGTTGCCCGCGACATCGCCCACGCCAAGCTCAAGGAGAGGCTGGACAGCGGTCAAGGTCTGCCTCAGTACATCAAGGATCATCCAGTGTACTACGCCGGTCCTGCCAAAACCCCTGAGGTGTGTTGTGGGCATCTTATTTTGGGGGGGAAGGGATGGTTGGGGGAATGAAAGTTAAATATAGAGATTTACCTACACATTTAAGAATTTTTATAGGAGGTTTTATATGAATATGTTTTCTAGACTTTTGAGGGTTGGTGGAAGGGAAATTGGGGGGGGTGTTTGCTGCAGTTGCTATGGTGTTCCATAGAGTGTGTTGTCAGCATAGCTCTGATGTCATTTATTAAGGCTGGGCAAGAGAGTAGGTGATGTTTCAGACTTTGCGACTACTCGGGGGCCAAATAATCATCATCATGTGGATGCGATTGTCTGTCTGATATTTTCAGACGTCTGCGAAACTTCACTTTACTTCCTGCCTTTTGGTATTTGGCAGGGGCTCCTGTGTGGTTTACTCCGTTTTTCCTATCAAACATCTGTTGTCTTATCTCTCCACTCTGTCTTTTCTTTGTATGTAACTGTTTTGTAGCAACTCTAATATTCAGCACTTATTTGATCTGTTTTGTGTTGCTAGTGCAGTAAAATTTTTACTAAAACTAGACTATGAGTTATGTAGGGTCATGCCAGTGTCAACCATTGTCATGTCGATGTACTTATCTATAATAGACTTTCACGCTCATTTGATGATTACCCAAGTCACTTTTGGGTCAAACTGAGCTATGGCCATCACGGCGCACGAAATTATCGATATCGCGCCTTTTAGTTGCACCGCAGCTCCCGCTATCCGGAGGTAATTAATCACCCCGCCCGGTACCTGTTGACCTTTCTTTAATTGGGGTCATTTGACTTCATGGCACCGTTATAAACTGGGATGTGTTCTCGATAAAATTGTCTCCTTTACTACTTCAATTGCAGTGGTGCCGTTAGACCCACCAAGTAGTTTTAATTTATAGACTTTAGCAACACCATTTCTCCTCCTCTTAAAGAAAGTCCCAGTCTTCTACGTTTTATACCAAGTGTTCCACACGTGTCTGTTTGCTGCATGTGTAACACGCTTTTCTCATTTCAAACTGAGGATAAAATGATCATTTATTGCGACAAAACGGTGCATTGAATTTTTTTGGGATTAGTATGTGCGTGTTCAGTAACAAATCCTGTTTTCAGTGTGGAAATTTCAGTACTACCGCAGTTATGGTTGTTCAGTTACATCGAATTATTAAGTTGGGCCCGCGAATTTACTAACGTTATTGCCGTATAAAACGAAGACCTTAAAATGGAGCACACCCCTGAAAGTCATGTATCCGCTTTAAACAGTCTGTTTAGAGTGTGCGGAAGACTGAACATTACAGGGAAGCAGAGAAAATCCTTTAAAAAGCCGTATTTGTGTTCGGAAATAGCCAGTGATCTCTTCCTTGTGTTTTGGTGAAATATCAAAGATGACACTAGTGACAAACACTTTAAATTTATGTGTTTGAAAAGTTATAAAACGATCTATGACGCTTAAGTTCGAAAAAGTGCAGTGTCCCTACAAACATTAATTGGTGTGCTTACATTGAAGACTGTGATGTAAAAACATGCACAGTCTGTTAACAGAAAAAACTGTTCTCTCTTGGCTGTGCCACAGTAAAGCCCCGTGACCCCCAATCTCACTACAGCAGTCAAGAAACATACACAAACCAAGCTAGTCCTAGCACCAACATTTCTGAGACAGACATAACCACACAGAGTACATGTACCCGTGCTCTCAGCACACTCAACACAAAAAAAAAATGACCCACACACAGTACAAGTCAGACTTGCCACACCCACCTTCAGTCTGTTGTCCCAGTCAGTGACTTACACGTAGATGTACAACATGCAGAGACATTGATTCAGGATATGTGTGTATATATCATAAAACCTATAGAGCCTACGCCATAATTCGTATGGAGTTAAGTGAGGGAAATGTGTGGATATTTACAGCAATGTGATGCATAGATCAACCATTTTGAGGTTACAAAAACTGCGGTAGCAGTGAAATTTGGTGAGTATATACCCTTAAGTATTACGTTTATGTCCCTCAAAGATGAACTAATCCTGATGCTCAGTTTTCTAATTATCGGCGCTCGTTACGTCATAATTGGAAACGCTGACAGGAATCAGCCATGACCATCTTGCACTGTCTGTTACAACTAAACCGACCAATACTGATTCACTTTGTTTTTGAAATATCATGAAAAAGACTTGGAAATTCTGATTCCCTCATGCGGTGACGTCTTTCAGTCAATATTATTGCGTTAATTAGCGCTCAATTCAGGATGAAAAATACGATTTTCTAAACCTCCCGCGCGGTCACGCTGACCGAAAAATGTCCAAGCGATGACCCTGCTCACCGTCAAAGGTCAGCGTGCCACTAGCTACCTGAGTTCTCATCTAAAGTATCCTGTTTCTGTGCGCCGTGCCATATCTAGATAATTTGATGAGTTCCCCAGATTTCTGTCAAAAGTTGTTTTAAACTTTGCATGTTAATGAAACAAAAAAATTGTTTTTAAAAACTTTGTGTGTCATGTCTGTTTTGTAAGTGCAACCGCTTTTGTTATTTTTCTAAAAATGCCAAAAAATGACTAAGGCAACATGAGTGGTTGGCAGGTGCTGTGATGTGGTTTTCTCCTTCTTTCCTGTCAAACATCTATCATCTTTATCTCCCTTCCTTCTTTTTTGTATTTGTTACTCCCTTGTAACACTTCTAATCTTCAGCACGTATATAACCTTATTGTATTGTAAGTGCCGTAAAACTCTTACGAGAAAAAAAATGTCTAAGGCGACAACTATCAAAGGAGCGTGACGAGATGTTCCTACTTACACTCAGAGGGGAAACGAGATTATTATTATTTTTTTTCCTCCCCCCTACGCCCCATTGTCTCCCCACCACCCGATGTAGGGTCATGCCAGTGGCTCATTTGGCCCCACCACCGCTGGACGTATGGACTCGTATGTGGCAGAGTTCCAGAAGGCTGGGGGCAGTATGGTCATGCTGGCCAAGGGAAACCGTAGCAGACAGGTAGGAATAGGGGGACTTGTAGTTATGTGTGGTATTTCGGCACTTATATGATCTTATTGTGTTGCAAGTGCCGTAAAACTCTTACTGAAACTAAAAAATGTGTGGTATGGTAGTCATAAAGTGCACATTAGTGGTGTGAGGTATGAGTATACACATGTAGGACAAAGGTGGGGCTCTACTGCTGTAAGCTGACAAAACGCATTTGTTTTTTATTCACAGCAGTTTCAAAATAAAAAGGTGTTTTGTCAGCATAACACTTTAAAAATGGTGTTCTTCAAAAATTTGAATGCTAATTATTTTAAAAAACTAGTCTTAGTTTCACTTTGATTTTTTTCACACAAGTAGGGTAACTGTTCAGGCTATTGATTTAGCAAATAAAAAGAACTGGTGCCAAAAATTTTTCTAAGACGTTTTGTCAGCAAATTGCAGTCTATTTATGTGAGGTATGTTAGTTATAAAGTGTATGTTAGTGGTATGGGGGGATGAGTATTAACAGGTAGGACAAAGGGAATTCTATTAATGAGGTATATGATAATCATTAATCGCATGTTAGTGGTATTGGATATGGGTATAAACAGGAAGGTGAAGGGAAGCTCTGGTTATGTGGTGTAGGATAATCGGAAGGTGTACGTTCGTCTTATAGGTTATTTGTGTGTATGCAGTGTATCAGTATACTGCTGTAAGCTGACAAAATGCGTTTTTTCATTTTGGCACCAAAAATTTTATTTGCTAATTTATCGAAAGCCTGATCAGTTCCCTTACTTGTGTGAAAGAATCAAATTGAAACTGTGACTTGTTTTTGAATAAATTAGAATTCAAATTTCGGAAGCACTCTATTTTCAATAGTTAAGCTGACAAAAGACGACTTTTTCTCGAAACTGCTGAGAACAAAAATAAAATCTGTGTTGTCAGCTTACAGCATTACAGTTCTAATGCACACAGGAAAACACTATGAGCTTTTTTCCTTTGAAAGTTAACTTCCTGTGGTCTTGCGATGCAGTTTCAAAATCACACTATGATCTTCATTCACTTTCGTTTTTTTGGGGGTTTTTTTCGGTGCTGTTTCATTAGCACACTATGATCATTCACTTGCAGTTTGTGTGGGGTTTTTTTTCTGTTTCATTATGACACTATGAACTTCTTTGGTTGGAGATTTATTTCAGTGTGTTGTTTCATTGAGATTTCATGATCACGCAATGATCTTTCATTGGAAAGTTGATTTCCTGTGGCACTTTGGTCTGTTGCTGGTTCATGATTTTCCAGCAAGTGTAATTCTGTTGACAGGTGACCGCGGCATGTAAGCAGCATGGTGGCTTCTACTTGGGCTCTATCGGGGGGCCGGCCGCTATCCTGGCTCAGAACTGCATCAAGAAGGTGGAGGTGCTAGAGTATCCTGAGCTGGGTGCGTATTGAATGATTTCAGAGTTGTTGGTTTTTTTTTCAAAGCATTTGTGAAAGGTTCCCATTTTATGTACCTGTTTAGTTTTACATAACTTTGTTTTTAGTTTATCATGAGTATGCTTCTTAAAACAAGTTTTTAGTGGGTGGTTTGTGGGTGCTCTGCTGTGGTTTGCTCCTTCTTACCAGTTGAACCTGAATCTTGACGTATACATAGGTAGCCTACAGTATAGCAATCTTGAATCTAGACAAATGAATGGCTGTAGTGTTGCAATCTTGAATCTAAATGTATACATAGGTACAGTATAGCAAATTGAATCTTCCTCTATGTATATATAGGTACAGTATAGCAAATTGAATCTAAATGTATACATGGGTACAGTATAGAAATAGATATCTTGATGTATAAAAAGGTACAGTATAGGAGTCTGATTCTTGATCCGTACATATATCCATTTTCATTTTGAGGTGGTCTTTTTTTACTCAATTCTTTAAGGTATGGAGGCCATCTGGAAAGTGGAAGTGGAGAACTTCCCAGCGTTCATTGTGGTCGACGACAAAGGAAACGACTTCTTCCAGAAGTGGCAGGTGGAGTGATGTCCTGATACGTGTAGGCACATGGATGTGTGCTCTCTCTCCCCAGTCATGTCTGCTCTCGGTTATTTATGGTGTTTGTTATGTTGTCGGTACCATTTTTACCTTTACAGTTCTGGTATATAGGTATGCGGTAAAATTAGGTGCTTGTCAATTTTTGGGCATCTGGAGTTATTGGTATCATCTTAAAGCTTGTTCATTTGATCATCTTTTGATGAAAAAAGATACATGCTTGTCTTGATTAGAAGTCAAGATATTTGCGGTTGAAGGAGGTCGGGGTCGCATGGTTTCAGAGGTTAAATTAGCAAAATTGCCGTCTAAGTTTAGGGATTTCCAAAGCTTGGAAACTGAAAATTTACATTTGTTGTGTCTTTGATTTATGTTTTTTAGTAAAATCCACTCAGAAATATGTTTTTAAATGGACATAAAAGGTGTTGAGCCACAAAACAAAAATTGGAAAAAAAATTTCAAACTGGATGAAAAATGCCGATATCTTCGATTTCATTATTTTGACGAGCGCCTGATTTCGCCATGATGCCTCACATATGTCAACTGTTACAGGGTTACATGATGTTAACTGGCATTGGCGGTCTAATGGTTAAGCTTTTGGACTCTGGACTTTCAACCATAAGGTCGTAGGTTAGATTCTCCTCAGGGACTGGACATTGAGTCCTTTGGAAAGGCACTTTACACAAATTTTCCTGACTTCAGCCTAGGCGGAAATGCGTACCTGGCTATAGACTGTGAAAGATCTTGTTAGTAGCGGTATTTTAGTGTTTTAGCACTTGTAAACCAGGCGGAAGAGCTAGAACTCAGATGACCTCTGGTTTTCAGAAAAGTAAAAGTAAATGTAAAAGCACTTGTAACCCACAGCTTGTACTGTATGCTTCCCGCGAAGCTGAGAATGCTTCTGAGTTGGGTTCCAAGGGTCTTCTGTGGTAATAATAATTGTAAAGTGCACAGAACATGCTGTAGAGGGTGGGCTATATGCTATATATATAAATGCAGTTATCTTTATTATAAAAGATTTCATAAGAAAAAAACCTAAATTTTGAATAGATGGGTGATGGGGATAGATCTGGATAATACAGTTGGTTTTTTTTTGGTGGGTTTTTTTTTTTAGAGCATCTGAGCAGAGAAGTTACCTTTGAACCGTGGCTGCTGATGTCTGTTTCACTTGTGACACTTTTAGAATAATAATGAGTTGTATATAATATGTGTGAGGACATTTGAATGCTGAAGGTTATATGTGCTGATAGTGCTGCAATTAACTACTATCACTATGTGGTCATTGTATGAGTGTTGAAAAATTCGATTCAAATGGTGAGAATGTTAAAGACTTTAATCAGACATGTACAGGATAGCTGGGCCAATGATGACTATGCACAAAGAAGCAGTTTTGCTTTGACACTACTTAAAAGTGGCTTTCAGTGATGTGCACTATTTTGTCATGCTGTTCAAATTTTGTTCTAGAATTTTTATGATTATGTCTGAAATATCTTGTTCTTCTCCATTCTCTAGAAAAAACCCCCCAACACTTTCATTGATGACAATGTTCTTATCAAGTATAGCTCCTTTAGTAAGTATAATTAGGCAGAAATGGATACCAGTGTTGTATCCAGGAAACGTGTTTAGTTTTTAATCTGTGTTCATAATTAGAAAATGATATGAGGGTAAAAGAATCTGTATGACTGAGAATGCATTTCAGCTGTGTGATGATGTCTGCCAATAACAAAGTAGTCCTCATTAGCCAGGTCGTCCTTGTTTGCCCATTTTACCAACAGTTTTTGTTTGTTTTCCTTTCTCTGGTGAGTGTGTATGCGTGTGTGTGTGTGGGGG